CGTTATACAGTGTATCTTCCAACATAGCACTGTTTATAAAAACATGTATCATGCCAACAAGCAGTTTTTTAAACATGATCATGCAACTAGCAGCTGAATACAAACAGGTATCATACCAACAAGCAGATGTTATACAGTGTATCATGCCAACATAGCACTGAAAATACAGTGTATCATGTCAACAAGCACTGTTAACATGAAATCATCAACATAGCAGGTGTTAAACAAACAGTGATCATCCCAAAATAGCACTGTTATAAAAACAGTGTATCATGTCTGTAGTGGGGGTTTGTGGGAGATATGATGGGGGAGAAAACACACTGTTTGGTGGAACACATTTTGAGAGGTAAAGGGGGAGGCCAGCCTGCCTGTAGCTGCGGGTGGGGTCTAACGGGAACGGGGAAGGGACCCAGGCATGAAGGTCCCACAACATTTCACTGACGTCACACATGCTAGCACTGACCCTACTGACCGGGACCTAAATATACATGGAAATACGATCCCAATAATTACACAAGTATTAATAAGGGGATTCATATTTATGCCAACAGCTCGCCCATGTTATGTATGTCGCTAAACATAAATATTAACTATGGCTAAACACATGGGCCTGGGCGATTCAATACAATAACAAAGACATAGTAACTTAGAATTAATGGATGGTTTCATAATGAGTTAACAAAATGGGTTAAAACGAATGCATTAGAATATAAGAACAAACAGGGTAAATGAAGGATGGAATTGTTGACGATCTGTATTCAGCACTCACAGTTTCTGAGGAAGAAAAAATATATTTTTACAAAGTGAAAAAAATTAAAACAAAGGCAACGGCGTGAACAGCCATTACTGCTAAATCCAGAATTTGGAGGGAACATAAAACACGAAAAAAAAAATTCTAAAAAAACTGATCAGCAAATAACAAAACACACAGCTGACAATTTCATTCATCTTAAAATTTCAAATTATACAGACTATGTACATTAAACCCAACTCTGAAAGGGGAAGATTTACAAATGCAAAGGGATATTGTCTTTGGGGGATCGAATTCCTTGCAATGGCAAACACTCCTTGACGGGGGAATCAACAATACACAAAAGAACTTGTGGGGTTTCTCAAACTTGTCGTGTATGAAAGAATAATGACTTTCAGGTAGATTATCTGGTGATTTTAGAGATAGGGGGACAGAGTAAGGGGTTGTCAGCATCTGTCACTTTAGGGGGGCCCTACCAGATGACGCAAGGAAAAAGATGAGCTACTCAAGCCCAATATACCATTTTTTTAAGCAAGCCGCTAACCGACTGAAGTCGAAGATAAAATTTAATTTTTATGAGAGACCCAAAATTTGATTAACACAAGCCTATCCGAGTTATCCTGACCCAAAAATGACTTCGAACGGGCCCGATAAATACATGCCCAGCACCTGCCCCGGGGCCAGACTCATGGAACTTTTGGTTCATCAAGAACTGCAAGACCCCCCTATCACGACCTTTTTCACCTATGGAGAGGGGCATGGACACGGGGGTCCCCCCTCAGTTACTAAAAACAACAGACATAGCCCCACTCCAAAAAGGGGGGCAGTAAAGCAATAGCAAAGAACTACAGACCAAAACACAAACATCCCATATATAAAAATCTTTGGGTCCAAGAAGCAAGATCACCACCCATCGAAACCCACATTTACACAACCCAGGCAACAGGGTTTTTAGAAGGGGCGCTCCGTCTGTCTCAACTATTGGATCACTACGACAAGGCCCCCTAAATGCACTAGAAGAAAAAAAAAGAATGCAGATGTAATATATACAACTTTGCAAAAACCTTCGACAAGTTTTACCAAGGGCGTAATAGCGCACAAAATGCGTGCAAAAGGGAATAACAGAAAAGTCGGTCGATGGATCTAAAATTTTTCCTCACTAACAAAACACAGAGAGTATCGTCAACAGAGTAAAGCCAGGCACTACGGTGAAAATCTGTTCCAAAAGGAAACATTACTAGCTCCCATCTTGTTCCTCATCCTCATATCCGACATAGCAAGGATGTCAGCCACACAACCGTGTCTTCCTTTGCAGATGACACCCGAATCTGCATGACAGTGTCTTTCCCTGCAGACCTGCAAGGCTCCAGGCGGGCATCAACCCAAAATTTTCAGGGGCTTTCGGAAAAAAATATGAAGTTCAACGAGAAAATTTCAATTACTCATATGGGAAACTGAGGAAAAAAAATCTTTCATCAAGTACAAAACAAATTCTGGCCACAAAATAGAGCGAAACCCAACGTCAAAGACCTGGGAGTGATTAGTCGGAGGATCTCACCTTCAAGGACCATAACAGTATCAATCGCATCTCTAAAAAATACAGGGTGGAAAAAAGAACCTTCAAAAATAGAGGCCAAGCCCATATGACACTCTTCAGGTCACTTGTTCTATCTAGGCTGGAATATTTCTGCACCTAACAGCAAACCCTTTTAAGGCAGGTGAAATTGCCGACCTAAAAATGTACAGAGA